TGCTTCTTTTTAAACATTTCATTTTATTTTATTATTGTGTATGTGTGTACCGTCAAATTGGATCTGACTGGTACAGGAGGAGATTGCACCTCCTTCTCTGGCAGAGCATCTGGTGGATTCAAACCGCGTATCTCTGGCATTGCAGTGCAGCGTCTTGCCACTAGGCCACCAGGCCTCCCCTAAGATTTCTTTCTTAGGGAGAATTTGGGCAGGGAGAAAAGTGCAACAATGAATGCATGGAAATCCAAAGTCTTTGTAGAGTTGCATTAAAATTAATTTTAAAAAAATTTTAATGGCTGAAATGAGTATATTTAGCTATCCTTCTTTGGGATTCTGAAAAGAAAATTTTTGAACAATGCCCCCACACCCAGTGTGTGTAAGAACCTGTACTTTTGATCTTGTGTAAACGTTCGTGTTCCAGGAACTAGCTGACCACAAAGTGAGCAAACACTTACTGGAAAAACCCTGTATCTTACTTAACTGGTATCAACAGCAGGTGGCTGACCTGGGACTGAACTTCTGCTTTTCCGAAGAGCCAATGAGCAATCTACACGTCACAGAACCCCTAGACCCTCTACAAAAACCCCTTGCTTTCTGGGCTCGGGGTCGACTCCCCTGTCTGCTGCGTGAGATACGGGTCGACCAGGAGCTCCGCCAATAACAGCCTCGTGTGTTTGCAGCAAGTGCTTCTGCTGTGAGTTGCTTGGGGCCGCGCTAGACAGCAGGATCGAGGAAAGTCCGAAATTTTGGTCTTTCAATTCTACTCCATTAAAAGATGCTTTGGAGGCTTCCTGATAGAAACACGTTAGATAATTGATTGCAAAATATTAATCTCAATTCTATAGACTGTCATCAGATCTATTATTGTTCATCGTTTGCCTGTGAGCCCTGCTCAACGGAACCTTGTCACAAGAACATGTGTCTCCACGGAAGGCTTAGGCAACGGAAGCGCGTCACACAAACATGTTTCTCCACGGATGGATTATGAAGCAGCACCAACTTGCGGGAACGAGAACCGGAAGCCACGCGGCAGAGCGGCTTTGGTGTTGTCCATGCGGGCAGCTACGCTCGCAAGTGACCACAGCCTGGATCTCGGGTCCGACAGCGTCTCTCTGGGGCCTTGGTCCTTCTTCCCCCGCGCGCCTGCCGCCATCGGGCCCGCGCTCTGCTGCCCCACCGGCCCATCAGCGGGAACTGGACTCTGGGGGTGGGGTTTGGGGGAGGGTGAGACGCCAGGTGCCCTTTGACCTGCAGGAGCTGCAGCCCGGAGATGGTGAGTGTGTGTGTGCAGGAGAATGGGGGTGTCGCGGGGAGGCTGGGGGTGACCTGTGCAGAGTGGACCTAGGGGACACAGCGTGGTGCATTTAAAAAAATTATTTTTTTTAATTTTATTTTTTATTTTTATTGTATTATTTTTACGTGTACCGTCAAATCAGATCTGACTGGTCCAGGAGGAGATTGCACCCTCCTTCTCCAGCAGAGCATCTCGTGGATTTGCACCACGTACTTCTGGGATTGCAGTGTCAAGAAAATGACAGCAGTGGACGCAGCGGACATGCCCTGACCGTCCAGCCGGTTTCCAGTGGCTTAAAATAGTATAAATATATATAGGAATAGGAATGGTGGTGTGTGGACTGCAGGCTTCAAAGATATCGACCTTTTTTTAAATTTTATTTTATTTTTTTGCTTTTACATTCACTAGGAATTTGCAGTAGCGGTTATTCTTTTTTATTTTTATTTTTATTTTTTATTTTTGATTCAAAGATATCGACCTAAAACTGGACCCTGGCTTTGCAGCAGGGTGCCTGGTGGGGAGTACTGAGTCCGGGATGGAGGATGGATGGATGGATGGATGGATGGATGGATCGATCGATGATCTCTGGCTTGATTCAGCTGTTTGAAGCATAAAATGTGTTGCTTTATGGAGGTGCCTTTTCGATTTTGTCTACAGCTCAAAACTTGATTGTGGGGGAATCCTAGCGTGTGATGACAGATAACGGTGACAGCTCACGACGTGCCTAACCAGTCTTTTTTAATCTAAAATTTCAATTCTTTACCTACCAGAGGCTAAAAAAAACCCAAAACTCCTTTCCCCCACTCATAAGTAATGGAAATCAGTGCATGAGTGGTGTTTTATAGGGCTCACTTGTGGAGACCTGAAAATTCCCTTATTTTGGGATCAGGTGGTGAGAGTCATATTCTCTGAGGTCTGGAGATTGTGAGAATTTGGGGCTGACCTTTAAGAGGGTAAATTCCTGAGTCTGTTTCCCTGAGTTCACAGGACATTTAGCTGTCAGCCGTCTACAGTCGACCTTCCTGCTATATGGTGTTGATGTGTGCCATCCAGTTAGAACCTATGGGAAGCCAGATTTCAAAGCATATATTTTATGAAAAACCATATGCTTGTTCAGGAATTGGAGGAATGACACATTTGTAAGTTAGGACTTCTCTTGGGACGGATCACAGAAAATTAGCTGTTTTCTGCAAACAAGAGACCTCTAGGTTCCCCCCTTCACAGGGAGAGTTAATCCGTGTGAAATACTTCTTGAGCTAAAGCATTAGGTTGATAATGGAGAAAAATTCAGCTTCATTTAGAAGGGAATTGTTTTTATGATTTGCTTCCCCTGATTATCAAGAAATACACAGAGAAACATGACTTGGGGTCTTCAGTGGAGAACTGCTGGCCCCCTGTCTTATGCTCTCTGTTCTATCTCATTCCTGGCTGTCTGTCTCATTATTAATAATTATAAAAATACTTTACCCTCGGTCTGCAACAAGAATACACTCATAGCAGATCCACCAGCAGATTTTCAAAGGCAGGACATTGCACAGGAAAAGAAGATTTCTCCTTACCTGTAGGAGGTGGTGGTTTTGAACCATGTGCCTTCAGTATTGCAAGTCATCTTCTTACCATAAGGCCACCAGAACTCCCTGTTCATATAGATAGCAAAGCCTTTTGCAATTCCAGTTTTTACATGGATAACTTTGGACACTGAGTATGTTTCTCACCTTGTGTACCCGTTGGCTTATTTTTATCACATTGTGATTACACATTTTTGGACTCCATGGTCCCGTCCTGATGCAGATGGTTTGGGGTGTTGTAGGAGTCGCTGGCCGCGGAGGACGTAGCTGTGGTCTTCAGTCAGAAGGAGTGGAACTTGCTGGACCTCGCCCAGAAGAAATTCTATAGAGAAGTGATGACAGAAACGTTCAGAAACTTGGCATTTGTTGGTAAGAGCACATCATATTATATTTTTTTATTCCCTTATTGTTGTTTTAATTTACAAAATTCTAATACAAATTCAAACCAATTCTTTGAATTTCCCTCACCCGCCCCCTTATCAAATTGTACAACCTGCCTTCCCCCTGCACGTCCATATCCCTCTGCTTCCAGCCTCTCCCAGCCCCCTTGGATCCTTATACTCATTCTGCAATAATGGTTTTATAAAATATTTACCCTTGTGGGACTGAGTTTGTT